GATCATTCCTTTTTGCATGGCCTGTGCAGTGCTGATGATGTAATAGCTGGAAACTTAAGCTTTTTAAGTCAAACCAAAACTTTTCTTTTCGTGTGCTTCCATCTTGCATAACTACGCACTTCAGCTTCTCTCTCTACTCTGCGTGGACGTAATTTCGCTGTGCTGCTTCCCATTGCAATATTATAAAAAATGTAACTGTTCTTGAATAGGCACGGCTAGAGTGCCAAGCTAACTGTGGCCACAAAAGTCAGTTGCAAATAAAAATGGAATTAAAATTGCCTCGACTGCCAAGTTTCTTAGCTATTACGAACTTAACATATTAGCATACTATACAATCAGAATTCTTCCACTTCAATATGGATCTCTCCTATCTGGTATTATGCATCAAAAGTATTGTGGCTATTTTCTTTGCTATTATTACATACATATATATATATACAGGGTTCATACACATTTCTGCACATGGAAGTTAAGTACTCTTAAGGACTTTTAACGACAATCAATGAAAAAAATTAAAGATCTATGAGCAAATGGGAACAGAATAAATTCAATTAAAAATATTATTCCATGCCTGAATTTCACTTTTGTAATACCACCCTAAAATAAAATAAATCCCTAATTAGTATGCATTATTACTAAATATGAATTAATTAATGTAATTATTAATAAGTTTGAGAATAAAATAAACTATGCAATATATCAAGTAGCATTAAATATTTTAAATTATAATAGTTGGACATATTTGAAAGAAGATAAGTGGCATTTACATTTTACTAACAGTTAGCTTTATGCTGATTTTTTTTAATGTCATATTTTTTATCACATATTTGGTCAATCTAGAGGTTTCGTAAATAGCAGGTAGATTTTATGTCAAACAGCAGTTTACAATGAGAAGTAAGATCATAATCAGCATGATTCATAACAAAAGACAATGTTGTCACCGCTGCTGCTTGTCTAGAGAGAGACCTGCTGATTAGAACAAACCTGAAATGACTGATGTAGGCACAGTTGGCAAGTGTTGAAAGTTAGTCAGGCTCTATTTGATACAGTTAGTGTCGTAGCTTCGTGTAGAATTAAATGGGTTGTAATCCAGTTCTTTAAGTCTCACAAGATGCAAAGATAAGTTTTACTTGAATTTTTACATTTTTGTGTTTTATCTTGTGACCACAGTGAGTATTTATGAAAGGCAATAATTCGCTTTAATATGTAGAAGTAATTTTTAAGGGTAGACAGCTAGTTATAAATAATTAAATTAGGTGGTTTGATAACCTTAGTTATTATGAATTTACATGGCCACTATTAAATTTTAAGGCCCTATTAAAATCTAATAAAATTTCACAGTTTAAAATACATGTAATTTATGACATTGATTCTTAAACGATATTAGGATAATTACACATTTAAAAGCTACAAAACATTTATGTTCTGTCGTAACAACATTCAACAAAATATTTATCAGTCATTTTAATTTGAAACCTTCCCAAACATTTTGGCTAGTTTATATTGATTTCCTTCTCTTTAAGCATCTTTTCTAACAATTACAGATTTGTCTCAATATGCAAACCAATGCTTATGCTAGTTTTTGCAAGCTTTATCTCCTGACTTGTCAACCTCTCCTCAATGTACCTATGAGGTTTTACTTGATCTGGTAAAAGTTAAATAGTCCAAAATCCCTGACAGACGTGACACGTATTATTGCTATATCTGAAAATAACTACAATATCAGACAAAGGTTTAAATAAGCCTCTTATTTAAAAAGAATTTAGAACATAAAGGCATGCTCTGATGCTAACAAAATCAATTACAGCTTACGGCGACATAATTAAACAAGAACAGTCAAATTTAAACTGAAAATGTGGACTAGTGGTCAAAGATTATACAATTTAATTTAAATTTAATCTCGCTCAGTAACTTTACCATATGAGGAAATAGTAATGGGAAATTATAGTAAAGGCTGAAATCATAAACAATTGGGTAATTTACATAATAATAATTGCACATATTTTCGAAGAATAATTTTCTTTATGTATTCAGTTTCTTTCTTCAACAAGTTTTCTTTTCATTTTAGAATTTTTGGAATTAATTAAGGATTTATCTTATTCTAAAAAACACTAAATACATTTAGAATGTAGAAAAAGAGGCTAATTTTATTTCTTTAATAATATGAACATTCAGAAAAATTATGAAACATATATGGTAAAGGACTGTTATAGAGCTGATGTGGCAGAACTTTTAGAATTTAGTAACACACCGAACAACAAAATCTAGAAATGGCAAAATTTTTTTAATTTAGAGCAGGCATTGGAAGCAGAATTTAGAAAGGTACTAGGCAGCAGAATTTAAGATTCACAGAGATTGCACCAGGTGAGAAAATGTCTAGCGCCAGCTATGTGTATGATGCATTAAGATATATTAGATGAATCTTTTAAATTGTAAGTTTTTAATTTCTTTATTAATAAAAAAATCCCTTTTTATAATGCCTGCCAATGTGATCTGATTAGAAGCATTTTTGATATTTTCCATGTTTGTGTCTAGTGAAAAGTAGAGAAAATAAAGGGAAGATAAACAAGTTAAGAAAAAGATTCTGGTATCAAAGTAAAACTCTAATATCATGTTTTCATTGTTCATCCAGACATCCTCCAAAATGTAAGTAAATTCATTGCAAACTTTCTGTAAAATACCATGGAGACATTTTTCATTTTGTCACATATTTCTCGAATCTTCTAGAGTCGTGGGTCTATAAATCTTGCCTTCAAATCCTTCTAAACTTTCCAAGCTGTAATGTCTAAAATCCTAAAGAAAAATTATCCCTACCAATTCCGTAACAGCAAAAAGAAATATTTTGGGAAAAAGTGTAAAATTAACTTTATAGAGAAAACTGATGCATATTCTGAGGCAATTACATGGAGAAAACTCTTACTATGAAAAAAATTAAAAAGAAGACCTTTTTAATTAATTACACAGCTAATTTTGCTTTTGCTAAGAGCTGTTTCGTAAATTATGCTTTACAGCATTATACCTTGTTTATTTTTCAGATTCAAAAGAGTGTGCAATAAGTTGCTAAAATGAAACTTTATAATATGACAGCTAAAATAAAAAATGTTATTTTTTAATATAATTTCAATATACTACTATTATTTTAATGAAATTCATGAATGTTACGATGTTTTAAAAAAAAAAATCACTGAAAAATTCTCAGATCTCGGAATTAAAAATTTTCTATAGAAACTGACCTTAAAATTGCCAAAATGTTGATAAGTGGCCAAATTTAGAACCGTTTAATAAAAGAATTCACATCACCAAAAGCAAAAAGTTGTTTAAAAGCTCTTTATTAGAAAAAATGAATTTCAAAATGTGTATGTTTCACTTCTTGCTTAGAAACTTGAGTATCCCATCATTTATATTAGAAAAAGAAAACAAATTATAACCCATGAACCCAATCAAAAGATAACCATATATGTCAGTGAATTGCCACAAATATTCCACCAAAATGGCAGTCATAAAAACAGACGGAAATTTCGGATGATTAAAATTAAGGACCTGCTGCTGATTTTGACCAAAATTACGGACTTTTAAGGACTCTTAAAGACCGTATGAATCCTGTATATATGTACATAACTGAATACAGTCAAAAGTCGTTAATCCGGACTCGTCGGGACTTCGGCAATTCCGGATTATATATCAGTTTAAATTTGGTAAAAATGACATGCAGAAATTACAAAATTAAAAATATGAAACCGTAATTTATGAAATAAAGAACAATTATGATCTAAATTCAATCAAAATCAAGGTAAATCAGGGTATCAAAATTTACAAAAAGACAAAGCTTAATATTTATTTGTTTACTTTATTAAACATTTCTTTCAATGTAAGTTGTTTAAGTTGCTTTGTTTCATGTGATAATACTTTCTCTTTAATTCTATTAAAGAGACATAATTTCTTGTTTAGTTACAAAGTTCCGTTGTTCAAATCCTATAATCGAGAATACCAACTAATTTGTCAATCGAAATTTGTTCGTTTCCAATAACCTCTGTCACTTTCTTCACTATCGGAAGCGAATTATAATGACGAGGAACTTGTTTTAAATCATATCAAAGACGGAGTACATCGAGATGAAATATTACATTTAGTAAGGAATTATATATAAGCCAAATAAAATAAAAACATCTGCCCTGAAGATAAGGATAGTGCTGACAGATCAACTTCCAATTCACTGCGCGCAGCGGTGTTCCCCCCGCCAAGCAGCGTGAAATTGATAAACAGATTTGGGATTTTGAAACATACTTTCGCTTTAGATCCTTTACATATTAGCAAATATATATCGGAAATTCTATTTGATATAATCGAAAGTTCAAGCTTACTTTTATAAAATTGCTCTAACAGTTTGCAAAAACTAATAAGCCGGATCCAATTCGAATATTAAGGAACAACGCAATCTGCAACATTAACTGAATTAGATAATTTTAGCTTAGCTTTTACCGTCCATTATACATTAAACGCGCATGCGTAAACGGTTTATGCGCATGCGCACACGCATATCCGCAGCCGTAAAGGTCTTACGCATGCACGTAAACGCCTATGCGCATGCGCGATGCATGTGCAGAAAGTTTGTGGCTTTGAGGTCCGGATTATGGGTGTCGGAATTAACGACTTTTGACTCTATCGTATTTATATATAATATTCTTTTCTTAAAGTTTAGTAATATTTATTACATCCTTTTGCATTTTACTAAATATCTGGCGATACAGATCAAGCAACTAAAAAATTACATTAATTTATTTTTACAGCAAAGCACTCGCTGCATGTTACCAACCCTCTAAGAAATGCCTTCATGGAAGGCTGTCAAAGAAAGCTCTAGTCAATATGTGCAATCAACTGGGAACTTAAGATGGCACAAAATGCTCATTGGCTTAAATCACATGATCATTGGTGGGTTCATATAAATTGCTAATAGTAAGAAATATCAATGTGAAATGACTTGATGACTTATTACAACATACCTATGAATTTTGTCCCGCTTCTCATCAATATTATCCATATTTATAATTTCAAATAGAGCTTCTTCATTTTCTGATCCAAATATGCCACCTGGTAACTTCCTTAAGAATTTCTGGGGAAAAATTATAACACTGTTTCTTTTCATTGAAATATCAATATTTATCAAACTAAAGGTTTAAAAAAGTTTCAAAACATTGAAAGTTATACTAATTTCTTAAATAAAATTAAGAAAAGCAATATTTAATCCTATACCTCAATTAAAAATAACACATAAAGTACTAAATTAACTCTCATATTAATTTCTAAAAATTGTACTTCACAAAAAGTGAAAATAAACATAGTTTTTAAAAAGATACCTTTAAAACTGAGGCTATAGTATACACAGAAAAATTTTCTATGTTGACTAGACGCCCATGCTGAAGAAAATGAATGAGTTTTTTCATGTTCCCTTGGTGCCCAGGAGCTCGAAATACATCTTTCTTATATGGACCTTCTTTATTCAGTTTTAATATTAATATCTGTAATTAAATACACATCCTGTGATAAATGTTTGCATCTGGATCAATTTTAAAAAGAAATGTTTATTCCAAACATGAAAAAACAATACACAACAAGAAGATAAATTCAAAAGCAAATTAAAAAATCTTACAGATTTATATTAGTATCATTTTAAACATTATGACAAAAAGTACAACTGCTAATAATAGGCCTCACAAGCATGTCTTTTGCATTTTGCATCTTTTAGCTTGGTGCAAAAGCACATTATATTTTACATTAATTGAAAAAAATATGTATATTAACCCAAATATAAAATAGATGTATAAGTAAGATGACCTTGTGCTTTACAAGGCATTTTAACAATAAAAAAAAGAAAACATCTGTGAAAAATCATGTGTTTAAATATGTTTTGTCTAAAAAACATGACCTGATAGAAGCATTCTTATGGGATATTCACATGACTGAAATATATGCGATGAAACAAGCATCTTTTTGGATTTACTTATATGAATGAGCTGACAAGGATATTCATACTTGGTATGATATACATTCATTACATACAGAGAACACAAGAATTTGCATTACTGTTAAAAAAGTCACGACGAAGCCTGTAAAACCTGCAGTACAATATGAACGATTATGGAAATATAATGTTTATTGTCATGCTACATCTCTTGCATAACAAACTGCATTTACTGTACAAGAGAACCATCCTGCTGTACTCCTCATTGGAATAATCAGCCATGTTTGGACTCAAAGATCCAATTCACAGACTGTCTGAATACCCTTCCCTGATGGCCAATTTATAATTTCATAATGAGGTAAGAAGTAATATTCCCTCTCATCTGTAAACATCATCCATTTATCACCATTTTAAAGGCAAATTTAAATAAAAAGTTTTTCTTCTTTACATTAGCTGTATATTTATTCCAGTGACTGGATACCAAAGGATCTGCATTTCGTATTGAATTAGCAACATTTTACGCATTTGTCATTGATTTTTTTGCTATCTCTCATAATTTTCACATAATCCAATATGGAGTAACTTATACCAAAACTTTTATACTACATATCATAATGGTAAGAAATGTGCATTGCAGCAATAGTGTGGCTAAAGATGTATTTATGTTAAGGTTTCTAAAATACTTTTATTCCTATATTTCAACTTAAGAATTACATCATAACTTATATTCTGCATTATGACGAGAGCAGGCCTTTGACTTTCAAATCAGGAGATGATAATTATAAAAGCAGATAAAATACATTTTTTCTTTTCAACCCTCTCAGCATTACGGACGGATTTTTCCGTATTAAAAGATGGCTTTCCAAAGCGTCACATACGGATTATTTTGCCAGCTTTCGATGAATCCCAAAGCATTTCAAACTATTTTTCTGCCTTACTTTTTCCACCTCGAAATCGTTGATGACAGAATATTCTGTACTGTCGTCCCCTCCGACCTCCTGTCGCGCTTAATTGGTAGTGGGGAAACAGCGATCATTAGAAAAAGATGTTACAATGGTACGGTCATAAATAAAAACATCAAATCCAGCCATACCACCTGCCGACGATTTTCATGCCGAAACTGGAAAATCTGGAAAGCCTTCAACGCAAACCTTTCTGTAAGTGAAAAATTTGCGAAACAAATTTTCTCCTGCAAAAGTAAATGCGATTTGCATGGAACCCATGAACAACTTTTAAAGAATTTAGCATCACCTAATTTATAAATAATTTCTTTTAGCATGGAATAAATACTTAAACAGGTATCTTACAATGACTGTAGAAACAGAGAAATTTTGTTTTAGCCGTGGGCATTGATTAAAAATACTGTATTTTTTTAAAATTATTATAACAGTTCACAAAAAAGAGTTACTTCAATCAAATCTTGTAATTCCATTTCAAACTAATGTGTCATTTATATGTTTGTATCGAAATTCATTTAATTGTCTGAATGTGAAATATGGAAATTTTATTATTGAAATATGAGGACAAGGTGCGATTCCTTAAAGAAAAATTTGTTCTACTCTTCTGATTTCTTGTCTAAAACAAACTACAGAGAAACTTCCTTGGCATGATATGAAAATCATTCGCAAATAATATTGTATTTGATTAAATCACTTTTTGGCGTTGATAAAATAAAGTACTGAAAGTACATGAAATCGTACGATGCATTTTTTACCCTAAGCAAAATACTTCCATTTTACTGAAAGTGTTATTGAATAAAAAGGTCCGAACGATATTTGATTATGAATATTATGAAGATGTGTTTATTTCCAAATTTCGAAACGGTTGGGACATAAAATTCTCAGCAGGTAGGAGTAAATACGAGGGGGAGTCAAATGAAAACCATAATTATTTTTTTTAATATTATTTATTGGTCACACAGGGTACAGAAGCAAATCACTTTTCAACATAGTCCCCTCCTCGTTCAATGCAAGTTCGCCAGCGCTTCAGAAGAGCCTGAATACCTGCAGAAAAAAAGTCTTTTGGGTGACGGCGCAACCACTCGTGCACCGCATTGCGTACCTCTTCATCGGAGTGGAACTTCCTGCTGCCCATTGCTTCTTTGAGAGGACCAGACAGATGGAAATCACTCGGTGTGAGGTCTGGCGAGTAAGGGGGATGTGGGAGGTATTCAAATTTCAGGTCTGTGATGGTTGCAACCGTTGCACGCGCCGTATGGGGCCGTGCACTGTTGTGTTGCAGCAGCACACCGGCTGACAGCAACCCACGTCGTTTCGTTTTGATGGCAGGCCGGAGATGATTTTTTAGGAGGTCCAAGTACGTAGCACTCATCACAGAGGTTCCTCGTGGTGTGTAGTGTTCCAAGATGATGCCCTTTTCGTCCCAAAAAAGGGTCAGCATAACCTTCCCTGCAGACGGCTGTGTCCGAAACTTTTTGGGTTTCGGTGATGAGGATTGGCGCCACTCCTTGCTCGCTCGCTTTGTTTCAAACTGATGGTAATGCACCCATGTTTTGTCACCAGTGACGATTCGTGACAGGAAGGCATTACCGTCATGTTCAGCACGCCACAAAAGATCACTTATGCTTATGCTTAGTACTTATGCTTGGGATTTTACTAAAATGGCCAATATATGCATGTATTTCTTGAAATCAATTTTCACATTTTATTAACATTTTATGTGCAGTTTTTATGGCATCCTTTCTTCACGTCCACTCGAATGATTTCACAGCCTAAGAACAAAATAGAACTATTTAAAATTAAATATCTATGCTCCGTTTGAAATATTTCTCTTTGGTTTAGTTTTCTTGAAAAAGCGCTCGAAGGGTATCTGCCAAAGGAGGGATGCCTTCATGGAAAACTGTTTAAGAGAAATTGGTTTCTATACATGTTACACAATTGAAAAATCATGAAACGTCTATGCAGCCAGCCTGTTCGCTAGGATTCGAACCGCGTGAACTACCCGTGTTCAGCAATTTGACTGCTTGGCCGTTGGTGGGCGTATCACCTTTTGAGATAATTATCATATTATTATATGTTTTAATGGGCATCAATAACAATCAATGCTTACTATTGTGATTTGCATTTCCAGTGATGTTAATCTCGTAATTAATACTTTTGTGTATTTGACGGCTCTGTGCCTAAGAGCAGTAAAGCTTCAACCGAGGACTTCATAAGCGGAACTGGCTCATATTCACATTATACATGGGAAACTACCGTAATTAATACAAATGTGGGAATATTTTTCTTGTAACTGTCAATGATACCAATCATACGATTTGATATTCACTTTCGGAGCAAAAATACATTGAGAAAGAAATCAATTTGGGGACAAATAAAAAATAACTGATGAAATAAGTATTATAAAAAAGCAAATTTCTTTTATATTTTGGTTCATTTGTTACCATTTAATTTGTGTTTTAATATCTTTTCATATTTTATTTCAGTATTGCATTATTAATTCTTAAATATTTTGCAAAATGCGAAAAATTGGTGAAATTCATAAACTCTTTCAATTCTAAATATAATTCTCTTTTCCAGTTCTAAAAATATATTCTGGATATTATAACAAAAAGATATAGTAGTCATTAATTAATATACAATTATCGTTAGTTAAAATGCATTTTGGTAGTAGATTCATGATAGATGTAATGTGTACATGCTTCAAAAAGATTGCACGACTAAACAATTTTTTCACAGTTCTGAGAACCATGGTTTCAATTTCAAATAAATAAATAAAAATAAAATAGTCTTCCACACAACGACAGTTTTTGACTCATTTTATTACAATGTATGAAGCAAATTTCTTTTCGTTCTCCAAAAGAAATAAATATGTCAATGAATAATATGTTTTTCAATGTGCTATTAGAATAAGAAATCCATACTCGTCTGATGCAAATTAAATGATATATATTATTAACCAAAATTTTGCAGGAGAAATTTCAAATATTACTTTGAAGCACTAACTACAAAAAAGTTGCATTTTTAAGTTTTTAAACGCAGTATTCGATAGTTTCAGCATCTTTTATATATGTGTAGTTTCAGCATCCTTTACGATAGTTTCAGCATCTTTTATAAGTGCTACGAACCGTCTTACTTCTCTAAAATTTCTTTAGGAAGGTAAGGAACAACGCATTTAGTGGCACTTTTTTCGTACAATCGCTTTACAGACGCTTAAATTTCGCATAGGTTTGTCATATATTCATAACCGAAATAGTCCATAACTGAAAGTTTAAAACTTCATTCAGTTAATTTCTTACATTAAAGTCATAGCCGCTTGCACTCGTTTTAAGATTTTCCGGATAGATAGGTATTCGGCTAAAATAGAAATTGTAAAGTCATTTGAGATATAATTTTTCCTTCTTAAAACAAGCTATTTAACGGCAACACAACAGTATAATATGTCATCATAATTATCAGCTGAGAGTTGTAAAAGAGTAAACACATTCCATTCCTACTAAATGGTTTATATAACTCTCCTTTTATAAAAGCTCGAAAAAGAGACTATAGTATATATCATTTGCATTTGGTGAATTAATGTATTAAAGGCATTGTTCTA